AACCTGTGTGAATAAAAACAATAAAAATAATTGAAAACTGATTCTCCAACACAGATGAGCTTAGTCTTCACTTTAATGGGGTCGAGAACAGATTTGGCAGAACCAATGAGTCCAAGACACATCAGAGTATATATACTATTGTTGCATCGATACTGATACTAACAATCAGTTCTCTATATGCAATAGTAGTGAAAAGCAGTAGTGAAAATACTGCAAAATCTGTAACGTGAGTATTTTGAAAGGAGGTACAACCAGCAAGAATATCAGTACATCACATTTAATTATTTAAAGACAAACCTTGCCAAAGAGCACAGTGACTTTTTGTAGTTCTGAAACCATTAAAATGTGAAGTTATATAACCAGTAAGTACCATTGATTAAAACTTAATATGGTTTATTTGTGACAGAACATTGCTTTTACCAACCAATACAAATATTAGGATTTACAGGAAGGAGTTAGGATCGGTATCAGTACTCTGTATCGTATATTGGGATCAGGATTGGAAGGAAAAAAGTGGTTTTGGTGCATCTCTAATAAATGCTTAAGTGCATCACAAGTCAGAGTCCCCAGAAAAAATGTCTTGAGTCTAGGACTATATTTAAATATTCCATTTTAGTGTGGGACTAAGCTTTAGTTACGTTCAGAAGGTCAACCCCCGATGAACTGACTAACCTTGTTGTGTCCTGTCTGCAGGGCCTCGTGTGTGTCTCGGTGAAGGTCTGGCTCGCATGGAGCTCTTCCTTATCTTGGTCACTCTGCTGCGCCAGTTCCAGTTCTTCTGGCCTGAAGATGCAGGAGAACCAGACTTCACTCCTGTATATGGAATCACACTCTCCCCCAAACCATACAGGATGGGGGTCAGACTGAGACAGCCAGCTAGAGAAATGTAGAACATGATTCCAAATATCTGAGTAATTTGTAACACTAGGACACTTTATTAAATACATAGTTTAATGATGTAAATCTATAATAATAAAATAAAGTGTTCAGGTCAAATACATCGCAAAGTTATATTACAGCAGCAAAGTCCAACAACACACAGCACAGTTGAAGAACATTTGACGTGTTTGTTTTGGGGTCGCCCTCTAGTGGCAAACTACTAAAGCTTCAAAGTATTTTGACCTCATGTTAAAATTATGTTACTCGGCCAGTTTGAGATGCATCTCAAAGCACTGTTTCTGTATAAAATTTTGGTACAAGTGCATTGCAAACATTTGAAATAGTGGTTTTAAGCATGCCCATTACTATTGACAGTACCTCACAAAGCACACAAGTACACAAACACACAAGATGCATAGCAGTAATGCCAGCTTCTTCTTTTTTTCTTTTTTTTTTTTTGTTTTTTAAGAAAATGTAAACTAATGAAGATCAGAGAATTTTATGTAACACCAAATTAAAAAGAAAAAACATGCAGCGGTTTATGAAACCACTTTGTCGGCAGATTAAAATCATTACAAAACCACAATACACCTACATAGTTAAAACAGCAGTGAATATCTTTTTCCTATTGTTTGTTTTGTAGTTTACATGTTTTATGAAATAGTTTTATGTTCTATAATTTTTTTTTATCAACACACAGGATTTCCCTCATCTAAAGCCTTGGATACATCTTTTAAAGTCCGATCACTTTAAAAAAAGACTGGACATCTCACACTGTTTGACTGGTTTCAGTGGATTTTTTGGGCAACTGAAATATTGTTGAAAGATCACACACTACACAACTCTTGAACTTCTGTGAACTCGTGCGTTATCTCGTTAGAGACACCAATAAACAGGCGTGGAACAGCTCGCTGCTGTTTTCACTGCTGTTTGTGCTGATGCAGTAAAGAAGCGAGAGGGAAACATATAAGTGGACATGCATTTAAAGATGTGATAAGTGTGGTAGTTTTAAGAGTTGTATATGTACATAAAACGTGAGTGTGCTCATGCTTTAAGCTCTTTTTATGTAGTGTAACCCCAGCTGAACACACCTCTCTCAACTCATGAATGGATAAATACTTAAAGCAGAAATTATCTATGTCAGAGCAAGAAAAACTTACTTCTGATCTAACATACCGGATTCAGCTCTAATAATCAGACCTATCATACACCAAACTGAGTTAAATACAATAATCTAACGCAGTTTTTTATTTTTATTATCAATAGTCCAATGCCATAAAGTTCAATGTTGATTTCACAGATCCATTACTGACAACTTATGAGAAACTGCAAAGCAATCAAACATCGAATCCCCTACTAGGTCAAAGAAAAGTCAGCTTGTGTGGCCCATATTGTCTTCCATCAATACTGCTTAATAGTCTTGTCATCAGTGGTGTAATGATCTTAATGTGTCATCTTATGTACCAACCAAAAAAGTATCTTTAATACCTCCCTGAACCAGGCAACCATACCAGCCAGCCTTACTGTCGCCATTATCCCAGTGCCAAAGAAGTCAACCGTCTCTGGCATTAGTGACTACTGTCTTGTAGCACTCACTCCAGTCAGCATGAAGTGCTTTAAACAACTAGTCTTGGTGCGTATACAATCTAGTTTCCCCACCTCACTGGTCCCCAATAAATTTGTGTTTTGCCCAAACTGCTGCACTGAAGATGCCATATCATCAGCCCTTCATCTGGCCTGGAAAACAAGGATAGTTAAGTTAGAATTCTGTTCATACAATCAGTGCAGCATTCAACACACAGCATTATCCCACAGCAGCTAGCAGTAGTCCTGGACTTCCTAACCAAAAGGCCCCAGTTTGTCTGGACCAGAAACAAAACCTTTAGTGTCATAACACTGAGCACTGGCACCCTCTAGGGGTGCTTACTCAACACTTCACTCTTTCTATTGCTGACTCATGGCTGTGCTGCCAGGTACAGCTCCAGTCACATCATTGTTTGTTGATGATACAACTGAGGTGGGGTTCATCAGGAACAATGATAAGTCAACAAACAGAAAGGAGGTGGAACAACTTTTGAACTGGTGAGAACAACAACTTGTTTCTTAATGACCATACACAAGAGAGATGGTCACTGACTTGAGGAGGACCAGGGCCTCTTATGCTCTCCTTCACATAAATAGAAACCAATGTGGAGAACATCAAGAGCACCAAATTCCTCTATGTGCATTTCACCTGGTCCCTGTAAACCACCTCTCCAGCAAAGAAAGCACAGCAGGGTCAACTTCTAGGACAGTTTCAAGTGCTGAGTGCTGGGCTTTGTCATGGTCTGCCACCTGCTCTGTTACTCCAGCACAGGCCGCTGTCAAATGCCAATAAGGTGCAGAGGGCTTCTCATCGTTAGCCCTATAGTGGAAATCTGGGCAGGTGGAATGCCCAGTTCTCAAATAGGGTCTTGCCACTGCTCTCTGCTCACTGCTTTTTGCCAGCTTCCCTTTCTTCTTTTGTTGAAAAAGAAGCTTTTTTCACAGGAGTCTTCCACCAGCTGTCTCAATTGATCCCACTTCTGACACCAATGTGCCATTGAGGATTAACATGTCAGTACACACATACTAGCATGGACAAACACACTTTCACCACTTAACAGAAAACACTGACTCTAACAAAACAAGACCTTAAGATAGTTAAAGCAACACTACTATCTGTTCTGGATTATGTTGATGTGATATACAGATACGCATATACAACTACTCTCAGGTCTTTAGACTCTGTATACCACTCTGCTTTGAGATTCATTACTGGTGACCCTTAAAATACCCATATACTGTATACTATTTACTGAACAATTACTGGCCATATGCCTTCATACATCCTTCAGGTGCCAAGAGCTTTTATTCTTGAACTGGGAAAATCTGCTTTTAGCTACAGTGCACCAGCTGGAATTTATTACCGGAAACTCTAAAACTTCACTGTCACATGAACATTTTGAACTTTTAGTCTCTAACCACCTCCACTCAGGCTCCAATTGTTTTTTATGATTTTAGTCTACTTATAATTTGATTTGTTTTACATGTATTATTCTTTTTTATTCATTTTATTATCAACATTTACTTTTTAGCTCCTGCTGAGTTATTTTCGATTTTCTCTTCTTTTAATTATTTTATTAATCATACTTTTTATTTTTATCCCTATTTGATCTCTTATTTATTAAGTTATTTTGTTTTAGCAATTTTAATGGTTTGTTCTGATCTGGTTTGATGTATTTTATTTTTCCTTTGTAATTTACTTTTATTATTATTATTATTATTATTATTATTATTATTATTATTATTATATTTTGTGATTAGGGTCACCCTCAGTGTACTCTGAGTTTCAATAAAGGTTGATTGATTGATTAAATTACAGATTTATTGCAAATTAGCTACACACATCACATCACACAAATCATTTCTATCTACCTCCTCTCTTTACTGTTGACTTGGAAGATAGCTGGAGAGGGGAAAATGGGGGCGGGGGGGACTTAAGGCATGTAGCTAATGCTGTGTATTGACTTTGATATTGACTCTTGATGATACACTTTTACACTGTTTATTGCCAGAACACACACTGTTGGGGATTTGGGGTGGGGTTATAAGGCAAGAACCAATCAGTGGTGGGGTTTAATGCAGGAGGACCACAGATGCATAAACACACAGTTACATAAATAGTTGGAAAGTTCAGGTCAATGGATTCACCACATGATCATGGTACTGGATTCCTGCCCTGAAGCGAGATACAACAAGCCAGTCCTCACATTCATAAGGCTTCTACACTGATGTGTTGATTTTTGGACTTTTGAGCTGTTTGTTGATGGGAAAAAATAAATGTTTGTGCATTTGAGTAATGCAAAATCATAGGTGTATTACAATATCCAGGTAATTCCCTAAATATTAATTCCTTTAATGTCATCTAGAATTGAATCAATAATCTTTAATTTAAGGTTTGTTCTCATGTATCTTTCTGAAAATAGTGCATGTGAACAGGGACTGAAGCCAAAAACTGATTAAAGATTAATAAACTCACCAACCACCCTTATATCAATGATTAAACTGCTCTCAGACACACTCCTCCTACTGGGTTGGCAAGGCCATTTATAGGAAGGAGTTGAGGTGGCAAAGCTAAAACCTTTATAGGAAAACCAAGCAGAGCTGAACAAAAATAGACACCATGCTGGGTTCTTTGGTGCTGATTTGGATTTTTGTCTTCCTCCTCTTCCTCTTCATCAAGACCCAAAGGCCCAAGAACTTTCCTCCAGGACCCCGGCCTGTGCCCATATTTGGGAACCTCCTTGAGCTGAACATTGCCAACCCTCTGAAAGACTTTGAGAGGGTAGAGTACCTTGTTCTCTTAATGCTTTTCTAAGTGGAAAACTATTTATGTACATTAGTTTTAAAGCCTTTCTTGGTAATCATGGACTTCACAAAAACAAAAAACTTGGTCAACTCATTGCAAACATGAGTAGCTTTACAGTTACAGTTAAAATATGTAATAACTACGCAAGCAGTTCTCTTACACAGTCACTGTGGTCCTTATGTAATTCTGCAAATGCTGTCCGTTTTCCTGGGTTAAAGTTTAATATTTTTTTGCATATACTTTAAAAATATATTCCGGTACATGTTATTGGTTACCTGTTAAAAATATAATCTGTACCCTAATCTAAAAGATTTACTATATTAATGTAATGTAATCAGATCATTTTTTGATTGCTTGTCTTTTTAACCCCTTAAAATACCAGGCTTATTACATACTAAGGCTCATTATTTAGTGATTACAGGGACTTAATTGCAAACTGGTTGAGCTGTTCTTCAGTTGTAGAATCAGAATCAGAATCAGAATCAAGCTTTATTGGCCAGGTATGCTTACACATACAAAGAATTTGGTTTTGGTTACAGGAGCTCACAGTGCACAGTATCAGACAGACATTTACATTTAGTGAGTAAAATAAAATAAATATAAAATAAAATACAATAAAATACAAAAAAATAAAAATAAAATACAATACAAAAAAATTAAATAAAACATGCATTCCTACCGACACTCACTCATACACACACACACACACACACACACACAGTCATACCTGTACCTTTACATAGTGCAAAGTATGGGTCTAAAGTTAAAGTGCTGAGTGCAGCAGCAGTTAAAGGGGTGTATAGTGGCAAAGAAAGGGATCAATGAGGTGACAGTCAGATGAGTGGGGTAATATGGCAGGTAAGTAAGATGCTAGAATAAACATGGTCTGAGATGGTAGTTTCAGAGGATGGAGTTGAGTTTGATACTATATACCCGTATTTTTGAAGTACAGTATGAAGCTGGAATATTTTAATGTGTAATATATTTTAACCGTTCAAGAGAGTGATGGCTTGTGGGAATAAGCTCCTCTGTAGCCTGGATGTCCTGATCCTCATCTGGCTGAAGCACCGGCCTGAGGGAAGGAGCTGGAACAGGTGGTGTCCGGGGTGACCTATTAAGGGTTTTAAGTGGGTAACTTTGGGCCCGCTGGCAGGCCCTAGCCTATTAAGGGTTTTACAGTCATTTGAATGAATAAAGACAACAGAAATATAATTTGATGACTTTAACTTAACTCAAAATAAACAGGAAAACTGCACTGGTTTAAGAAGGGAATGATATAGATGATTTAATTGTCTGTGATTTATAGCATGGTCAAAAGATCAGGTCATCTGGTGGAAATCTTCTTTTGAGACTTAACATCAACAATCACTATACATAGAGGTCATTCTAAAACCTCTGACTGACCATCATTTGTGTTTTGTCTCCACTGATGCATCATTTTTAGACTTCTCTGTTTGTGATGTAATTTACTGATGGTCCCTTATCTCTTCCCAGTGGTTTCGACTGTCCGCAGAAATCAACATGTCCTATGAGATTTAAAAGGCATTCATTTCACACTGAACTAAGTGAGAGGTGATTAATTTAGTTACCAATAATCAGAAAATAAGTATAAAAGCTTAGTTCCAGTTTCCAGTCAAGTGTTTTGTAAAATCAGAGTAAATGTCTGATTCAAATATCTTCAGGAAAATGGCTGGGGTGGGGGTTCTTCAGATTTCCCTACTGACAGCAGCCCTGAGACCCAAATGAAAAAACTCTTTAAATCTACAAACTTATGTGACATACAGTCTGAGGCCACATTGAAAATCTGTTTGTTTTTTTAAACCTGGAAATTAACAACAGAAACTTTTTGAATCTTGAAAATTGATGTGACTATTAAAATGAAGAAGAAATCTTCAAAATTCTGCACTACTTGTAGGTCACTATTCAAATTGACACAGGTTTGTGACATTGACCATATGAAGTCCTTTTTACAAAGAGGTCAGATTTTTTAGTCTTATCTCTTCCAGGGAAGCTCGTGTTCAGATGACTCCCAGGTGTATTCTACTCATCAGAGGCTTGTGAACAAACTTATGGAGTCCATGCCAGCTCAAGCACACGCTGTCATTATGGCAAAAGGGAGGCACACACCAAATGCTAAGAAATTCTGAAATTCATGTAAAAATTCAAAGATTCTACTTTTCGTTTGTAATGCAAAACTTATATGTATATTCATTAAATTAAGAGTGAATGCAAAATAGAAGCATTTTCATCAGAGGTCTCAAACTTTGGTCTCCACTTTATGTATCATTAAAAACAATGAATGTCGACAAAAGGTGAATGTTTGTATTGTGTGGTTTGAATGTAATCCTGATACTTTTTGGGATATACCTGTAATCTGATTACTCGAATGCAATACAGTTACTTTTTTTTTGTCCTGATTACGTAACATTCTTATCTGTATTTTGTTACCACCCAAATTATGTCTTTAGTTGGCTCAATGCTATGGGAACGTTTACAGTCTGTACTTTGGAGGAACACCAGCAGTGGTTCTTACTGGTTTTAAGGCTGTGAAGGAAGCTCTGGTGAACAAGGCTGCAGACTTTTCAGGACGCCCACAAAACCTGCTAGTCAGCCATCTAACAGAAGGGAAAGGTGACATCTATAAACAATTACAACTGTTCGAGAAATTTCTATGGCCAATTAATGTTCATCTAATGTTCTTTTACTGATACAAGAGCCTAATGCAAGCAGGCAATTGGCTGAAGGTTATAGAACAGCAACTTTCTTAACTTTTAATTATGTTACTGATTTGAGAAAAATTTGGCAGGTATCGTATTTCTTGATTATGGTCCTGCATGGAAGGAGCATCGGCGCTTTGCCCTCATGACCCTGAGGAACTTTGGCATGGGGAAGCAGTCAATGGAGGACAGGATTCTGGGAGAAATTGAACATCTTGTTGCACGTTTGAAGAGAAGTGCTGGTATCGTTATATTCCAGTAATTTTACTACTTTCCATATGTTACAAGTGAAATAAAAAGGTGCAAAATTCTTACTTGTTGATTATAGCAACACAGAAAAAAGACATTCAGTGTTGTTTAATTATATTTAAGATTAATTTCTGAATGCACATGTATCTGTGCAGGAGGCTTCCTGAATCCTCAGACTGTGTTCCATGATGCTACATCAAATATCATCTATCTGGTTTTATTTGGCATTCGCTACAACTACGGGGATGAAGCCCTTAAAAAGTACGTCAGTAGCTTTACTGAATCTACGAAGATTGCCAATGGACCCTGGGGACTGGTGGGACATTGTATTATAAATTTGTATCATTAACAGTAACATAATTGTGTTTTAGTCTAAATCCTAGATTGTATTTGATGTAAAACTAATGTGACAGTCGTTCCACGAGAGCAGTGCAAAAATGACGTTTTTTCATCCATAGTTTCAATTACAAATTGCTCCAACTTTGAATTAATTTCTTAAAACATAAATAACATTTAATCGAAGATTGCTGTCTTTTAAACACGGCACTAAATGTTGGCCTCTTTTTCACTGCAGGGCCGAACGGTTCTGAGCAGGAGGGTAACCGTTTCAGTGGTGTTTCCACACGGACACGGAACGCTAAAAAACCAGGCTCAGCCTGTTTTTTTGGCACGGTTAGCTAACCGTACTCAGGGCCACAGAACTGTTGCATTGTATTGTGCCACAGCATAATGCTGCCCGAAAGCATTTAAATAAATTCAGTTTGCTCAAATAAATGAAAGCAGTGCGCGATTTTAAAGCCTCCAATTTTGAAATGTTAAATGCGCTGCCTAACCAGCTAGAAGAGAGTAGCTGGTTAGCGTTAGCTTAGCTAGCTAGCATGCTGTCAGCACTGCTCACTACAGAGCAGATTCGATTCTGACTAACAAAAGCTTTACTGACACAAATTTAGATGATAATGACTCATATCTGAGGAAGCGAAGTCGAGTGGCTGATGTTAGAGGAACAGAAAGAGTTGAAATTAACCTCTTCTCTTGTGTCTGAAGCTGGAGCCTCCTAGCTAAGCTAATGCTAGCCGGCTCTTCTCTCCTAGCTAAATTAGCTTAGCTAAAGCGATCCAAACACTACAGTGCAGGTTCGATTCGACTAACTGCTCTGCTGTCACAAGTATAGGTGATAAAAACTTATAACAGTGAGAGCAAAGTTGACTGATAGGAGTTGGAGTGACAGAAAGCCGAAACCGGACCTGCTCTTTTAGAGCTTTAAGCTGTAGCCTGCTAGGCTAAGCTAATGCGAGTGCACAATGCCTCTCACTGCAGTACGGGCTCGGTTCTGGCGAACCGATTATTAAACACACCCGTTTAGAGGATAAAGACTCGCACAAATTCGAATGACTGGTGTTGTGACGGAAAGATAAAAACAGAATTGTTATGTGGTGCTTTGAGTTGTGCCCTACGGGGCGACGCTAATGCTAATGTAGTTATCCGGCTACAGGTAAAACCCACCGCAGTACAGGCTGTTTCAGTAACTGATGCTCAAATACCACCCGTTTAGAGGATAAACAAGATGACAGCACGCTGACAGACGAGTTGGGGTGACAGACAGATTCAAATGGTTTTGTGGTGTGTGGCGTGTATGTTGCTATTAGCTTGTTAGCAGTTTGTTTATGTAGTTTTCTGGTTCTAATTTAGTGGTACAACAGATGGAAACAGAAACCATAACCGGTCTCACAAGTCCTGTCCTGAAAACCATTTGGCTTGATAGTGGAAAAGCGACCACTGTGTATTCAAATGGCACTGTTTTCATGGATTGACTCAGATATAACGTATAATGTCCTGTATTAAAGGTGCAGTGTGTGTAAGATTTAGTGGCATCTAGCAGTGAGGTTGCAGATTGCAACCAACTGAACATCACTCCCTCATCCCTCCCTTTTCAATCGCGTAGTAAAACTTAAGTTGGCCATCAGGTTTTCTGCCGTCAACTGTCCCAATTTCGTTTTGCTTCTTCACAGTTTTGCTTCTTTAACAACAAAGATTAACCCTCTATTGCTTTTTCTTGTGCTAAATAATAAGTCTGATCCTCCATTTGTCAGAATTTGGGTTCTCAAACTTCTCACAACACAAACTGGTTAGCCAGCACCAGCAGCAACCAATAATTCTTCTTCTTTCTACATCTTCCAACTGGTGCTACAGCGCCACCGAATTCAAGCAGCCGCTTCAATGTAAAAACACGAAAGGCACACTCTGGAGCCCATTCTGGGCTGCTGTAGAAACTTGGTGGCACAACATGGCAGCCTCTGTTGAAAGAGGATCCGCTACCTATGTGGATATAAAGGGCTCATTCTAAGCTAACAAAAACACAACAATTCATAGTTACAGATGATTATACACGAATGAAAACATGTTTTTTTGTACTATATTCCATTTTTGCTAATAGATCCCCCTCAATGTTACAGACTGCAACTTTAACCTAACATACTATGATACTGTGGTGGTAACATGTTGCAGTTACTTGGGAAAAATGTACTTTAAATGCGTGACAGTTAAAATGTCTTTTTTTCCTGTAGATATATGAAACTTTTCCTTTTCTGAGAGCCCTGCCCCTTCCCTTTAAGAAGGTGTTCACGCATTTTGAGACAGTGAAAAAATTGGACGCAAGCATGGTCAATAAGCACAAACCAACCAGAGTCCCAGGAGAGCCAAAGAACTTTGTTGACTGCTATCTGGATGAGCTCGATAAGGTGTGTGTGTGAGTTGGAAGACCTTTCTGTCATTATTGAAGAACACTTGTGTGAACTTGGCGCTTCCTCCATGGTAATGCACCTCACCTTTGCTTACATGAAATACAGACTGATTAATCAGACTATGTGTTCTATTCAACAGAGAGGAAACGGTGGGTCTTCCTTTAGTGAGGAACAACTTGTGAGATCCATCATTGACCTTCATGCTGCTGGAACAGATAGTAGCTCCAACACCCTCCTGACAGCATTTCTGTACCTTATAACACACCCAGACATTCAAGGTTTGAACTATGAAATTTCCAGTGTGCTCTGTTATAAGGTGTTAGATGACATTCTCAGTGAACACAGGCAGCTTTAAGATCGATTGGCCAGAGACAGCACTTGATGCTAGAACCACACTGTTCCTCTGTACTCTGCTGGTTATAAACTTGCATAAGACTTTATTCAGTTCTGTGTTAGGTCTGAAGTCAGGTTCCACATGGTCTAAATGATGAGACTATAAAGGTTTATAAGCTATTGACAAAATGCTGCAAAGTGTCCTTGTGGGTTATGCTTCTAGAATTCCAACAGAGCAGATTTCCTGATTGTAAACAAATAAATCCAAAATACAGCATCTAACAAATTCTTAGCCTATCATACAATTTACTCCACCCATTCATTCATTTGCTGATAGATTTAACAGACTCAGTAATGCTATCATATGCCTTCTGTCTGGTCTTTCTAGGGAGATGTCAGAAGGAGATTGATGAGGTTTTGGAGGGTAAAGCTCATGCATCTTTTGAGGACAGACACAAGATGCCGTACACGCAGGCTGTGATCCATGAGTCCCAGCGTATTGCTAGAACCGTCCCCCTCAGTGTTCCCCACTGTGTCAGCAGAGATACTGAACTGATGGGCTACAGCATCCCAAAGGTTCCTTTAATGCTGCTTTCCTTGTTCCTTTCTTTCCATTTTGTATTTCATGATTTAAACCACATGCTAATATTTCTTTACCTTTTTCTTTGTCTTTCTGATCTAGGGCACTGTTATCATCCCAAACCTCTACTCAGTGCTGAGTGAGGAAGGCCAGTGGAAGTTTCCTCATGAGTTCAATCCAGCTAACTTCCTGAATGAGCAGGGACAGTTTGAGAGGCCAGAGGCCTTCATACCCTTTTCTACTGGTGAGAGATCTGAACAGTGTAATGAACATAAACCAATTCCTGAAAATGTGCCTCTCCAACACAGATTAAGCTTAGTCTTTATTTAAATACTACATTTTGGTGTAGGACTAGGCTTTAGTTATGTTCAGTAGACCAAACCCCCTGATGAACTCACAAACCATGTTGACATGTGTTTGTAGGGCCCCGTGTGTGTCTCGGTGAAGGTCTGGCTCGCATGGAGCTCTTCCTCATCTTGGTCACTCTGCTGCGCCGGTTCCAGTTCTTCTGGCCTGAAGATGCAGGAGAACCAGACTATACTCCTGTATATGGAATCACACTCACACCCAAACCGTACAGGATGGGGGTCAGACTGAGACAGCCAGCTAGAGAAATGTAGAGCAGATTCCAAATACCAGTGTAATTGTAACACCAATACCCTTCATTGAATACAGACTTTGAGAAAATAAACCCATAATTCAGTTCATCCAGGTCAAATACATGGCTTAAGTTAGATCACAGTAACCAACACACAGCACAAAAAGAAAACTCTAAGAAATGTTCCAGAAGTCAAGTAGCCGATCATCTACCCATGCACTGCCCACAATACATGCTCAAACCTACTGTTGCTACTTTGCAGAAGTTTGTCAAAAATCCCATTAAACTAAGTTAAATCTGCTACATTATACAGAGTTTCCAATTTAAAATGCTACACTACCAAGATGGACTGTTGTTTCCTTCATATTTTGTAAACTACGAAGCCTCTGAAAGGATGTGGTATATTTTTCAATTTTCGTAGGTAAAAATCTGTTGCCCACCACAAACTGTTATGTGCTCACAAAATATTAACAGATATTTTCAGCACTAGATACAATTTGAAGAAAACATCAAATATTATCTGTCATGACAGTTACTGATTGAAGTATTGTTGATTTTTTATTTATCTTTGTTCAGTAATTTACATGCTTTTATGAATTAAATTCTAACCATCTTTTATTTAGACACCTGTTTACCATAGATACACACCTCTCCTAGCTTAGCCAGCTCCATAATTACTTACATTCTTGTTAAAAATGGGTAAAAAAAGTCATGAAAAAATATTATTGTGGATAATTATCTAATTTAGATTAGATAAGATTAGATTAGATTCAACTTTATTGTCATTGTGCAGAGTACAGGTACAGAGCCAATGAAATGCAGTTAGCATCTTACCAGAAGTGCAAAATCCAGTATTATTTACATATAAAGTGCAGAAAAGTAGCTGTAGTAAGCGATGCTGTGGTTACAATACATACAATTAAGGATGGTAGAGTGGTAAAAAGATACAGATGTTGCAAGTATAAATATTATATGCATATGCACAGAGTGAGTGGAGAGAATGCAAATGTAGGTACACTGTTAGAAATAAAGGTTCTGTGCAGGTACATTTTTCGTTCATCAAGGTACAAATAATAAATGTACCCTCAAAGGTACAACAGTCGTTTTAAGGTCCAATTTTGGACCTTAAATAAGTTTTTCCTGGCAAAAATTACATATTTGTATCTTTTCATAACCTAATGTTTTAAAACAGAGCACTAAAATAAAAAGCCTGGAGACGAGACGGGGTGTGTGGAGTCAATACAACTTAGAAAATATCATTTCAATGGATTATGGTACAATTATGCTCCCTGTCCAAAGGTGCTCAGATGTACCCTTGAGGGTACCACCCCAGTGACAAGAGGGGTGCTGCCCCAGTGACAGTTTACTACCTTTTTTTCTGAGAGTGTAGTAGGTATTGTGAAAGCAGCATTTGTAAAATGATACGTATGCAGAGTAAAAACATGCAGTCTGTGCAAATATAAATAGTGCAGTAGCAGACTGTACAAATATGAATAGTGCAATAATAGTAGGAGATAAAGTACAGTAACACTGCATTGAGTGCAAAATGTGGTTAAAGTGGTGGTGTGGAGTTCAGCAGGGTCACAGCCTCAGGGAAAAAAGCACTTCCACAGTGATCCATCTTTATCAAGGGTGCCTGTAACTATGGTATGACTGTTTAATTACTTAATGCACTGAACGGGTCATATGAGAGCAGGGGAAATATTGTTTCTTATCTAACAGGCTTGATTCAGCTGTGATTATAAAATACTTTATAATAGTAAAGTTCATAATGATAAAGTTCAGTTTTATAAAAGCTGTGTTTATTTGTGCAGGTCTGTGGCAGAATATTTCAGTCTAAATGAAATAAACACATAAAAAATAAACCTTTAAAATGTATCATGTATTGTGTGAAGTGGCAATTAATTAAAATTGAAAATATGAACACAAATATGAGCACAAATGTGGATCTTTGATTTATATTATGCAACGGTCCAACATCAAGTTTTCATAGATGTGTTATTGGAAGCCTATGAGAAGGAAGAAAGAAAAATGAGTTTGTGAAGTATAGTGTTGGCCTATTTACTTCAGTTAGACTAATAAAACACTGCTTTTGGATGCATAAATATAGACAGAAATCATAGGACAGATTCAAATTATTGTGGAACCGAGTTTCTGTGCTAAAATGCTCTGCAAAACAAATCTGCACTGTTTTTAATGCACTGCAAAGGAAGAGTGAGATCATTGTGCTCACTCTTACTGATAAGCCCTGATAAGTCGATATACTACCAGCCAATCCCTGCACCGGTGGTGGTGTTTCTGATATACAGTGGGAAAAAATTAACTGTGAGTATCTTTCAGTGATGTACAAATCAGATATAGATGTATAAGGTAGTTGATGTGATGATCCACTTTCATGATGGGTGATTTATAATTATATATTTTTTTAGATTTCATTAAAAATTTGCATTATGAAAAGCTTAATTTTTAAAATCTATTTTAAACTCTTCAACTCCTTCAGACCACCGATGGTTCCAAAACGCACTTCGTCATATTCTTCATAACTTTCATATTTTATAAGCTACATTCAAAAAGTGGGTGTCATATGAGAGCTGTAACTGTCTTCTTTCCAGTATAGATATAGATGGGTAATGTAATTTTAAACCCTTATAATAGAAGAAGCTGAACTTACATTTTTTTTTGTCTACTGAAAGTTGACCCATTTTTCCACAAATCTGGGCCGTAAACTATAAACAGATGGCGTCTCTTAAGTGATCTGCTCTGTAAAAATTATTTTTATAAAATAATACAAAGAGTGTCTAAGATTTTTGGCTTTCAGCAGTAAATTGTAAGCATATAGCAATATGTATATGATCATAAAACACATGTTCTGTTAATTTGAGGGGAGCTTTAAAAAAAAATTAATAAATTAATAAAATAAAAATTTACATTCATTTCATGCAGTTACTGAACAATTTGCCTTACAGTTTGGTCATGTAAATTCAGATGGACAAACCAAAATATACCCTGGAGAATAAGAGGTTAAATCATCAGACTATAAACTTCACGTCATTTGATGTTTTGTTGGAAGCATATCCAGTGATGTTGAATATTCTTTTATACGCCCCCCCCACCATGTTAATGATTGATCTGCTCTCACACACATCTACTCTCCTCCTACTGGATTGATATTAGTGCTTAGTGGAGGTGCTGGTGTACCAAAGGGAGAAAAAAGCCAAGTAGAGAGCAGAACCACAACAGAGACCATGCTGGGCTCCTTGGTCCTCATTTGGATTTTTATCTTCCTCCTCTTCCTCTTTATCAAGACCCAGAGGCCCAAGAACTTTCCTCCTGGACCCTGGCCTGTGCCCATTTTTGGGAACCTTTTTCAGCTGAACATGACTGATCCTCTGAAAGACTATGAGAGGGTACAGTACAATGTTCTGCTAATGCTGCCCTAATCAACACAAAGTTAAAACTCTTATTGGCAGACATGAATTTCACAGAAATGAAAGGAAAGCTCAACCTGCAACTGTTTTACTTCCAGCTTCTTGTTAATATATATTAAAAGGGAGGAAACTGCTGATGCTTTTTGGTTGTTATAACTGGTAAATAACATGTACTATCAATGGTATATACCTTAAATTTATTATAAACAAAAACATATTTGCAGCACTATGATTTTGATTTAAATGTTAATATGTGATATGCAAATGCAAATCTCTGAAGTGTGGAAACTGTTCTATATACCAAAGGTCACTATGCACCAAACGTTATCTGCAGCTAGATGGCATCAATTGTTAGGGGGCCAGTGTTTGTTGCTTTTTTGTATCTTTTTTCAAGCAATGTTTTTATGATGACTGTTTACTTTTTCTGCTTGCTGTATTGTATGTCTTTAGTTGGCTGAGCGCTATGGGAACGTTTACAGCCTGTATATTGGAGGAACACCAGCAGTGGTTCTTACTGGTTTCAAGGCTGTGAAGGAAGCTCTGGTGACCAAGGGTGCAGACTTTTCAGGACGTCCACAAAACGTCCTAATGAGCCATCTAACGCAAGGAAATGGTGAAGTCCATAAACTATTCGAGTCATCAGACTGAGATCAAAGTCCTGTGTACAGACTGTGGCTAATCAATATTTCTTTTATGCTGATATCATGGTGTCTTTTACTCTAGGTAAAAGTTAAAAAGACCAAAGCTTTCTCACTTTGAAATGAGTTACTGATGTGAGTTTAATGTGTCAGGGGTCGTATTTCTTGACTATGGTCCTGCCTGGAAGGAGCATCGGCGCTTTTCCCTCACGACCCTGAGGAACTTTGGCATGGGAAAGCGGTCTATGGAGGACAGGATCCTGGGAGAGATCGAACACCTTGTTGCACGTTTGGAGAAAAGTGCTGGTATTATTATTGTTATTATGCTAAATCATTCAGTGTTTTGAAATCACAGTTGATATTAATGAATTTACATTGTTTTTATATAGGAGGATCTATCAATCCTGAAACTTTGTTTCATAAAGTTGCATCAAATATCATCTACCTGGTTTTATATGGCACTCGCCTTGACTATGAGGATGAAACCCTCCAAGAATATTTTAGCCACTACGATGAACTTGCGAAGGTTGCCAATGGACCCTGGGGAATGGTGGGATATTTTATTATTAACACAAACATACATCTTTCTCGCTTCAGACTTTGAAGCAACATTGACATAAACCTGACTGAAATAAGATTTTCTGTTGAATTGGCACCATTGGTTGGTAAAGGTCATTGAAAGTGACTTTGTGGTTAATTAAATCAATTTAACATTGGAAATATGAGAGAAATCTAACCTTAAATAAAAGTAAATTTACAATATTTTTTCTTAAGAAAACCATGTGTCAAGTTTGGCGCCCTTAGTTATTTCCCTTTTCTGAGTGTTTTTAATGGCAATGAAAAACATATATTTCTTTAAATGCCCATATCCACTGTTCAGGGTTTTATGCACAATGATTGGAGACACAAACTTTTCAAGGATAGTCATGGGGCAGTCATGGGCTGGAGGTTAGCCTTGTGACTGGAAGGTCGCCGGCTCGATCCACTTTAGTATGTGACTAAAGTGCCCTTGAGCAAGGCATCTAACCCCCAGCTGCTCCCCGGGCGCTGTGGATAGGGCTATCCACCACTCCAGGCACATGTGCTCACTGCCCCTAGTGTGTGTTCACTAGTGTGTATGTGGTGTTTCACTGCACGGATGGGTTAAATATGGAGGTGAAATTTCCCAGTTGTGGGACTAATAAGGGTAACTTAATCTTAATCTAATCTGATAATGAATAAGGGTTTAATGACCACAGAACCAAACTTTTGACATGGCTATCTCAGTCCCCTGGCCTAAACCCTGTTGAAAACAAGTGGGGTGAGCTAAAAAGACACACTGTGTGTATGGTAAAACATTAAATTAAAATATTTAACCACAAAGACATTTTTACCAAGAGAGCCAATAATTATGGAAATGACTGTACATACTGTACTGACAGCATGTTGCAATAACTTTGGAAAATGGGTTTTAACTGAATGAAATAAATGTCTAATAATTAATGTCTTTGTCCCATAGATATATGATATGGTTCCTATTGTGAGAGCCCTGCCCCTTCCCTTTAAGAAAGCCTTCACACATTTTGAGGCAATCAAAGCCATGATAGCAAGCATGGTGAGAAAACACAAGACATCCAGAATCCCAGGAGAGCCAGAAAACTTGGTCGACTGCTATCTGGATGAACTTGATAAGGTGAACGTGAAGAATATTTGTCTGGTTTTATTGAAGAGAACATCTTTAAACACAATGTTTGTATAGGCCACTTTATCTGATGAGGCTTTCTGTTCATCAGGGAGCAAATAATGGATCCCACTTTAATGATGCAGATCTTGTGAGAACCATCATGGACCTTCATGGTGGTGGGACAGAAACCACCTCCAACACCCTCCTAACAGCGTTCCTCTACCTCATGACCAAACCAGACATTCAGGGTTTGACCTATAAAAATGTCCATTGCACTTCACTTGATTTGTTGATAGATCTGCGAGAGAGTAATGATCCCAGACATCTCTCTCATCTTTCTAGAGAGATGTCAGAAGGAGATTGACGAGGTTCTGGAGGGTAAAGCTCACGCGTCCTTTGAGGACAGACACAAGATGCCGTACACACATGCTGTGATCCATGAATCTCAGCGCGTCGCCAGTACCTTCCCCCTCAGTGTACCCCACTGCACCACAAGAGATACTGAACTGATGGGCTACAGCATCCCAAAGGTGGAGATTTCACTTTCTTTCCACTTTCTTTTATGTAATTTAAGCCCCAAAAATTCTTTTCTCTAACTTTCTTCATTCATTGTTGTTCTCTGTGATCCAGGGTACTCTAATCATCCCAAACCTCCTGTCAGTGCTGAATGAAGAAGACCAGTGGAAGTTTCCTCATGAGTTCAATCCAGCTAACTTCCTGAATGAGCAGGGACAGTTCGAGAAGCATGAAGCCTTCCTGCCCTTTTCTGCTGGTGAGAGATCTAAACAGTGCATATGAACAGAGTGAACAAATCCTGGAAACCTGCTTCTCCATCAAAGCTTAGTCTGCTTTTAAATCACATTTCGGTCCAGGATGAGCTTTTAGACCAGCCCTCTGATGAACGTTGTGTGCTTTGCATGTGTGTGCAGGGCCTCGTGTGTGTCTCGGTGAAGGTCTGGCTCGAATGGAGCTCTTCCACATCTTGGTCACTCTGCTGCACCGGTTCCAGTTCTTCTGGCCTGAAGATGCAGGAGAACCAGACTATACTCCTGTATTTGGAGTCAGTCTCAAACCCAAACCGTACAGGATGGGAGTCAGACTGAGACAGCCAGCTAGAGAAATGTAGAAACTGCCAGCAAATGCCAGCAAAAATTGATGTAATAATTGATGGACTTTTATATTAAGAGTAATACTTAGTAGCCACGTATGAAAACTGCTTCACTTCAGTTTAATCAACAGCATTGCAAGTACAACTTTACCATACCACTAAAGACCATTCTGTAATTTACATGCTGTTATCAAATAAAATGTTTCAACCTTTGCGAGCTGCAAGATTCTCAGACTGCAACCCCAGAAATATAGGTATTGTAAATATTCTACATACAGGTGACAGATGCTTTGTAGCTCAGTCGTTCTATATGTAGCATTATGTCTACTTTTTGTGCACTTTGGAGCATAGAAAATGTGGATGTACATAAAATGTAGCAAAATTAGCTGCTTGGCTAAGACCTACAACACACTGCCATGCCAGTTTTATGGAGAACTGTTTTAGCCTCAAATCCACAATTTTTGGTATTCAGTTTAAGGAAGTGAAATGCTGTTAGTATTAGTGATTAGTACCAATATTTTATCATACTGGTGTTGTTGGAAGAAAACCTTGGTAACTTGGTAACCTTGGTAACTTTACAGGAGAAGGAAAAAACCTACTTTACTTTTAATGTAAGTCAATGGAACCAGTCATTTTGGGCTTTTTCTTTCTTTTTGTCCAATCATCATGAAATTTACACAGAATGGAGATAGGTTTTCTTCCGACAGCAGCAATATAATTATCTAGCATATAGCATATAAGATCAGTTCTCAATAGCAAGAGGCCATTTTTACTGTTATGAATTAAGATTGAACATGTGCTACTTCACTTTTCACCAAATCATATCACATCACATTTACACAGGTGTGAAGGTGAGTGATAATGTTAGGTGTGTAGCCCCCTTGTAGAACTTAAATACAAAAAAAAGTGAAAATGTATTCTAATTATTACATGTTCAAATCAAAAAGGGAAAAATGAAATGTTACACATAAGAGTAAAACTTACATGTAATAACTGAATTTGTATATATAGCATTAATACATTTTTCATCAGTAAGAAATCTATTCTTAACATACAATAGTTACAATTTCAACATGAAAGTTGAATTAACACTTTTTATTTTAAGCCATATTTCTCAAGTTGTTCCTCCCAGTAAAGTAAAATGGAGTAAGTAAGAAATGAAATCTCATATGAAAATGTCAGGTTGAGAACCACTGCTCTGCTCTCTCAGCATGTGAATAAATAATGATTTCTATTATGTAACAGTCCAAGGCTATCAGGAACAGCTGTGATGTAACACACCCATTGGCTGGCTGTGAGGAACAACAAGCAAATCTAACCCAAAAAAAACTAATAATCCAAAGAGGAAACGGTTCATGTGGCCCCTTGTAGTAGTTCTTTAGCCTTCAGTTCCCTTGGCTAAAGAAACACTGCTTAATGGTCCTGTCTTACATTTTTTACACTGAAAAAAAATAATATTTTAGCAAATGAATTCATATTAAACCATATTAGAAATTGAAGATGTTATCACTTGGCAAGATATCATTTTCTGCAGTGTAAAAAAGTGTTTCAAAAATCTAAATTCTGGTCAGGAGTCCTGGTGGATGATCATGGTAATGGATTTCTCTGCTTTATTCTTTAGGAATAAAGAATAACACATGAATAACAGTCCCTAAGAAACATTAAGGTTTGTATGTGTGAAAATAGTGCATGTGAACAGAACACTCGACCAGCCATCATGTCAATGATATAACTGGTCTCATAATCACATACTTTTGATTTTTGATGTGTTTATTTGGTAATGTGGGTTTCTGCACTGCTTGATCCAGATACTGCACCTCTTCTCTTGTGTCTTCAGTTTAGGAAATGGGAAAATCTGATTATTTTCAATAAACGTTTAGGATATCATTTATATAGGAGTGTAGAAATTGAAAGTGTGACCATGGGTCGAAGTTCTACTGTATTTATTTACTCTGCCTATATAACGTATCAAAAAACGACCAAAAAAATTCTAGCATCACTTGTACAATTTCATCCATCAAAAACCTCACATAAGAGTTCTCCCATACAATTTGAGGATAAAAAAACATTGCATGCAACACTTAGCATGCTACACCAGCTTTGACCAGCAGTTTTTTTGGGGTGGGGGCGGTGGGGTGGGGGTCTGTTGTTGTAGTTTTTTTAAGCCGATGTGTTTGATATAGATGTCTGGCTGTTTGTAATTTTAAATTTACCTTTAATGATGTTAATTTCTTTTATGAGTAATGACTCATATCACTGTCATTTCTAATCAAAACTCTAACCAAGAAGAATGTGTATGTCAAACAGTTTAACAAATTATAGGAAGAAATTGCTAAACTGACTGGTTTTAGTAAAATTCTATAACGTGTGAGGTTTTTTTAATTGAACTTTTACTTTGACAGTTAGTTGCCAAGTGTGACGTAATTCAGTGTGAATTATTCATTGGCTCATCAGTGGCGGAGCCAGTGGCTGAATCTCAACTGGTTCCCTACTCCCTATGTAGTGCACCACGTAAGTTTTACAACAAAGACTCCGACACACAAACAGCATATAATATGTGTACAATGCACACAGTATCAGGCATTTGTGCACAATTGCCTACTGGACATATCGTGCACTGTTTGGATGTAGAAGCCAAAATTTCTCAACGCACGTAGTGCACTACATAGGGGGGAGGCATCCATTTGGGATTTAGCCAGTGAACGTGAGGTGAATTGGCCATAGATTCCGCGTTCGTCTAATACATTTAGCCGCGTTTGTTTCATACAGCCACGCCAATGGCTCCGGCATGTTGCGGCGGTCATTACCATTTTGTACAATAACAGAGCGACAGTTTAAGAAGGGCACCATCCAAATTGAAACTACAGTAAACACAGCACTCAGGAGGTCAGGTAGGCCAGAGACGTTATAAAGAAGGGAGGTCAGTGGTTGAAAAATGAATGGGAAAGCTTATAATCATAGATATACATACCTAGATGCCGCATTGGGTCCAGCCAGGCACGTCAACTGCGCCGCCATTTTGGAGCGGTCAATATCGCTGCTGGACTGCATTCAGGACCATTACAGAAAGATACTGTCCGAAATTATACAATTTCAAGAGTACTGCACTCAGAAAGCGTGATAGTATTATATAACGGATTGAACGCAGCGATCCACGCTCATGCTTGTGTGATGCGTATTGTTTGTGTGGTTGGTGAGGCACAGAGAACCTGTTGATGTGATTGTTTTTTTTCTTCTGGTTTTATATTAAACTTATTTAATTCAATAGTCTATTCAGGGGATCTTAATTGATACAATGAGGGTTAATGCTTTGTAGCTAGGTAAATTATAGCATTTCCTAATCCGTGTATGTTGTGTATTATCCATCAACTGTGTACGTTGTCCGTTTGTATCATCTCTTTATATCTTTATCAGTAAAGAATAATAGCTTACTAGTCTTTGTTAATAAAGATTTTTCAAGGGTTTGCACTGATCCAGCTAAATCAGGTTCTTTTTAAAATGGGTTAGGGGCAAGGAACAGTTCAAACTCCTGTAGAACATCAGAATGAATTATATAATACAATAATGCACAGAAGAAGAAAAAAAACAATGTAGTACAAGTACGGATTTTTCCAGGTCCTCACATGTCAACATTTATTGTTTCATAAAGTTGAAAATGTATACATGTACATTAAACCAAAGATCTACGCCGAACCAAATAATGAACAACATGGGCAGTAATAATACCATGTGAGGACGTAACGTCGAAAATGCTAAATTTCAGAGGTACTGGAACCACCGACAAGCAACATTGCCAGTACGTCGCCGGTAAGTCACGAACTGACCAAAAAGTACGAATAGACTAACTTACGTTGCTGGTTCGTCGTGTGTCAGCTGGGTAGATTCATAATAGATTTACCCTAGCACCTTCTTACACATAGCCGAAGTTAGCTTTATATTTGCCAGCTTCTTGTTTGAATTTTCCCATTCCACCTTAAATGGTGCATCGCACCGTCAAGAACCGGAAAGTGACTGCTGCACCATTTAAGGTGGACCGGGAAAACCTGAACAAGAAGCTGGCGAATAGGAAGCCAACTTCAGCTTTGTCCTTATTACTGTGTTTTGGGGGTTATTATATTCTCATGTATATAAAGATTTGAAGTGATTCACACATTGATGGATTTGTTGATGTGTGTGTGTGATTGTGTTTCTCGCGCTGAACTCGGGTTTTTAACGTCAGGTAACGTTACAGACTCAATACTTTCCTGCTGGTCCGGACGGAATAAAAGCTACCGAGAGCAGTCTGTGCAATGTAGATTAATCTAAATCTGAGGATTATAACAAAACAAATTAGGTGAAAATCGGTTGAGTAATAAGGAAGTTGTGGTCGATTTAATCCTGAGACTCCTCATCTCTTAGTACAGGTGAATTTGTTCGCAAGTGGATCTTGACCGCTCCAACATGGCGGACACGCAGACGTATCGCCATTGATGGAGAACAACAGACAACGCGGCATCTGGATACGTATATCTATGCTTGTAACGCTCAATATGGTGTCTGTTAGCGGAGAAAGTCCGTCTTTCAGTGATTTTAAATATGTTTCTGAAATAGTAATTAGAATTATTTTAATTCTAAATTATTTTTATTAGTAATTTTCACTGAAATAGTGAAAAAAACATGTAACTGTCAAAATAAAGAAGTCTCCTTGGCCCTGGCAGGTGAAGCTCTGAAGGACTTAATATTGTCTGTCTTTGCATTAATGACAGCCAATAACAAGGATTTTTTTTCCGTAGATCATAAACATGTTTTATATTTCCTCATGAATGTAAATCTAAATATCACTTCTCTAGGTCACGTCTATCAGCTTCCTTCTGACAGTATGGCCAGCCGTTGGAAACCGAGGCGTTTTACAAATATGTGTGAGCAAACTGAG